TTTTATAGAACAATTCTGGCTTCAGGAAAGTCTGGAAGCAATATTTCTTCAAATAAAAGGTGTTTAAACTTTTTTCTGTTTCAGAGAAATGAACTTAACCAAGCTTCTGTGGTGCACCCATTCCCTCCTAGTAAAATTGAGTCCTGATCTCTATTCACATGATTGAATACTAGCCACACTTATAAAACTGAGCTGAAGTCAGTGTGTTAAAGAACATTCTCAGCTGAATGACTTCACCACAGATTTACCTCATTGCTGTCTCGGGGGAGGCAGCACAGGCATCGTGGAGGTGGCTTTCCTGGCAAGCAACCGAGACGGTCACAAAGGGCCTGCACTTGGTTTAATGCTCTGATGTCACCACCTTGAAATCCTCACTAATTTTTTAACAAGGGGCCCCACATTTTCATTTTCCATGGGGGCCCTGCAAATTAGGTCACTGGTCCTGAGCAGCAAAATGGAATGTTTTAAAACCAAGGGAACAGACCCACCAAAGGCAGGGGGGGTTCTTTGGGAACCATGAACTTGGGTGGAAACCTAAACACCCATCAAGATCTTGAGTTTTCTCATTCACAAATTCCATGTGCTTCCTTCTGTCTGTTACAAATCTCCTGAAGAAATGTAGCCTTCAGGTTGAGGGGCTAACAGTCTGTGAAATGTCCAGAGAGCAGAAGGTTAAAAATAAAGAAGGAGAAAAAAAGAAAGCAAAGGGTCAGGGCACCTACCCATCCAACCCTTGGATAATTGAGGAAACCAAGTTTTCATGAAGAGAACAGAGCCTGAGACAACAGCGTTTTTGTCCAAAGGTGCGTCTTGGTGCCTTGCTCCTTGTTCCTTTCTGTAAAATGTGCCTGGGCCAAATATTGCTGTCCCAGAGAAAAATTCATTTTAGTTCAATTCAATAGCTGCGAATAGAGTACCTACTAAGTAGCAAAGGCATGAGAGAGACTGTATGTCTCCCAGAGCTGCTTATCAGATCTTGAAAGGCCCTTAAAGATTGACTGCCCAGCTAGCTTCATTTGATCTGTGAGGAAGCTGAGACTCAGAAGAGAGGAGTGACTTCTCCAGATGTAGAAGAAGACATCTCCCAGAGGCCAGCCCTTGCCACTTTCTTCATTTAAACTGGTATGCACACACACATGCACATAAGCACGCACCCGCGCCCCCCCCCCCACACACACACACACACTTACCAGATCCAGGAAGAGAGAGGCCATCGTGAGGGCCCATCTGCAAGGACTAGGGGAAAGAACCATCAACATGAAACTCAAGAAGACCCAAACTAACTTCCAACACTAATTGTTACTATTTCTGTGAGCTTCAAAAATCACACAAACCTCTCTAAAACAGCTTTCTCAACTGCAAAATAAGAGATTTGGGTCAAGGATGGCAAATACATAGCATGTGTGATTTCTTTTCCCAAAATGTCCCTAGGGAAGACAAAGCTAATCCAACGGGACGTTTGACCCTTAAGCTAGAGCACTGGTGGCCTCACAGGCCTTCTCAATGCAGCCAACCACATCTCCAGCCGGCCCTGCTGCTGAATAAGATTGGTGTGTGAGACAAAAACCAATTGTCCCCGCACAAACTAGATCATTTCTGAGACCCTCCTGGTCTTTTAAAAATAACCAAACAAACCTATGATCGTCGGTATGTGCAGTTTTTTGGTTCCAAGAGAAGGAATAAGTACTTTATACTCCAACCCTTTGCCAAATATATCTAAATATGTTGGCTTCTTTTTTTTTTTAAGTGTTTTAAATACTTATTTTTTGAGCTTTTTAAAAATCCTCCATTCTCCAAATTAGTCCAATTCTGCCTGATATTTCTGAAACGTATTTAACAGAAAACAAAGATCTTCAGTTCATAATTAAATTAGCTATTAAGGCGGGCAATTAATACCTGGATATGCCCTACCAGCTGGGGCTTTTAGGCTCCCAGGGCACATAGAAGCTGCTGTGAAAGCTTCTTCAGTAGTCCCCAATCCCCTTTTCCACCTCCTGCCTCTCCCAACTCCGGGGACATCCCACACTCTCTGCCTGGGGAGTCTTCCACCACCTTGGCTCAGATCTCAGCCTCCTGCTCAGGAGCCTTCAGTGCTTCCCAATGCCCACGGTGTTCTGGACTCTAAGCCAGAAGAAACCCAGCTTCCCACCTCTCTCCTGCTCCCGCTCTGCCTCACCTGTCTCTCAGCTGCTCCTGGGTTAGCGCCGCCTTCCCAGGCTGGAACTTTCTCTCACTTCTCATCTCCTCTCCTGTTTATAATATCTTCCCTCCAGCCCCACCTCCACCTGGAGAAGTCTTGTCCACCCCTTAATTCCCCTATCAGCTCAAAATTTTCCTTTTCCTTCTGCATACACCTTCCTGGACTCCCGACCCCTGGAAGTATTATCTCCCCTACTTGACACTCTCCCCTGTAAGAAAGCACTGATGTACTGAGTCTGCGGCCAACGGAAGGACAATCCAGTGATTGTCACCTCACCCTTCCCCACTGCTGGCCAAGACACTGACCCTCAGGTGGCCATCGCTGGTTGTGGTCGAGTTAACCCGCCTTTCTCCCAGCGGTGGTGCTGACACGGAGGACGGGCCAGCACAGTACGTTGGGCCTTGTAGTGACCCCACTGCTGTATGAAGTAAGTAGAGAGAATGACTTTTAAAAATCACATTTTCTCTGTTGAGACTACAGAATCTCTGACCCTCATGTTGGGGAAGCACTACAGAAAGATAGGGACCAGAGGAACCCGAACTATTTCTCTCTTGGGCTGGCGAAGGTATTTCCTTCTGTCTGAATTTCCTGGTCCCCATAACAGTGGGTCTCCTTCCCGGACTCAGGTACAGAATCTGCATCTCTCACCCACCTCCCATTCCTTCCCCCACGTTTCCCCACTTTCCAACCCCAACAGAGCGGAACCAACCCAAGCTCTAGTAAGTTTCAGCAGGTGAGAGGTTATGGACCGACCCTGCCACCCTAATCTATTTCCCCATAACTGAGAGCACCCGGTCAAGCCCAAGAACCAGGAGACCCGAGATTAGCAGATGATTTCCATAATGACCACAAGGTGGCAGTCTAGTGCAACTAAAGACATCTTTGCTTGGCTCCTGGCCGTACCCCTGCAAAGCGGCTACTTTGATTTCCAAAGCAGCAGCGCGCCTCTCAGTGCTACCGTTTTGACGAGAACACATCGAGAACAACTTGATCCACGGCAGGCTTGCCCTTTCTTCAGTGCTTAGGATCTTAGCCGTTCCAGCAGGCCAAAGAACAGTTTTTGCTTACTACTGATTTATGTTGGTATTTTAAATTGGAACTGCATCAGACTTTGACGTTTCAATTCAAAAGTGAGCACTGAATATCGATCTCCCTGCTTTCCAAAGTCTTTGTGCAATTAAAAATGTTTTTTAGCTGCCACACGCTGAAGCAGCCGAGGCCATCTCTGCCTAGCTGGCAATTTTACAAAGAAGAGCAGAACTGGATGCTTTTTAACAGCTCTTAAAACTGAGCTTGTACCAAGTCTGGTGCCAAAGCAAGGAAGACAATTGATCATGTTCGTAACCCTTCCCCCTCCTCATTTCTTAAAAAGAAACATTTTCTAATGTGCCTATTTTTAAAGCCCAGTTTAAGAATTTTAGCAGAAATCCTTTGCCTAACTCATGCACACATAATTGAGCAGAAGATGGTAGATTCAAGCATCTACTATTTGCTCTTTGCATAAAAGCCTGCCTTGATGAATACAGAAAGCCATGGGAGGAAGTAAGGACTTAGCTGAGTTCAGCACTGACGTCTATACTCCCCTCCCCCAATAATTTATGTAGCTTAGGCCACTGCGACCCTTTAGTTGAGCAGTGGGGTAAGGGAACGAAAAATAGAAACCAGTTACGCTGCTTCCCACCTAGAAAGTGCTCAAGGCGGGACTCTGAATACCCACATCGTGCTTCAGTCTGTGGGTCATGACTCCCTTACCTCCTTCCACCTCTCACCCCAAAGTTTTAGATGCCAGTGTGTTTAGAAAACTCCGCTGTTAGTCAGGAGAGACCTCCAAATCCAGTGTTTTGTCTTTTTCTCCGTAAGTGAAATCTGAGATCAAGTTCTTCTTAACTTTCAAGTTCAGGAGTACATACGCAGGTTTCTTACTATTGGCTCACAGCCCTGGCTTCTGGGCCACTTTAGCAATGAATTAGTTTGCTATTCAGTAGCGAACTAGGAGATAGGAGGAGGGGGGCTTTTAAGGGCTTTGTTGATCAAGTTTTGCTATTCACTCCTTTGGAAATTATTCCTTTTTATGCTTCAGATTTTGTCTTTACTCACCAGTTTTTAGAATAATGAGTTGGACTTCTTTGGAAATTATTTTTAACCTGTCAAAGTCAACCATGTGGCAAAGAACTATACCCACTGAATTCTTACCATTTACTTCTCTATATTTTCAGGACCTCAGGCCATTAGGCAGAGCCATGAGACTAGTTAAGGCCAATGAAATGGGATAATAGACACATGGCACTCTCAGGCTGAGAAAGAGAAAAGCTCTTTTGCCATTCTCTGGGCACTTCCTTTCTTTGCCCCAGCAGCCAAGATTAACCCTGAAAGTTCCAGGTGTTGCCGCTTCGAGATGGTGGAGGCTCTGTCAGCCTGGATCCCTGAAAGACTATGTGGAACAGAGCCATAATAGATACATAAGTAAATGAGAAACAGACCTGTGTGTGAAGCCACTGAGATTTGAGGGTTAGCATGTTATACAAGTATAATGTAACAAATCACATTCAAGGTACGTAGCTCTGTGTTCTCAAAGTCTGTTTTGAATTTGAATAGATAAGTGATGAATTACTTTAAATTATTCTCTTTGGAGACTCGATTAAAAAACATGATATTGCTCTTAAAAGTATGCTCCTAGAACATTCTGCTTCAAGGTAGAGTTACCAGTTCGGGAAGGAGTTAATTTTGTGGGAGAGATGGACAGTTGCATTGGCCTCATTGCTTCACCTCTTCAATCAACAAAGTTCTAGAAACAATTTCATTTCAGTCCAACACACTTTATTAATTTTTAACTTTTTTCTTAATTTTCAATGATCAAGTATTCAAGATGCTGTAAACCAAGATTTATTAGTACATTGACAATAGATTTCATTAAACACAAGGAAATTATACATCTTTTAAATTACCCTAAGAAGTTTCCAAATAAATATCATTTTAAAAATCACAAAATCAAACTTCTTTATGCAACAATGCAAAACAGCCTTTCATCACAAACACACATCTACACAGTACACACACACACAAACACACACTCCACTAAGAATCTAATGCCAGTTTCGCTGACACAGTATTACATTTCTTTTAACAAAAGAGTCAGAATCTAATCTGCCTGTTTCATGATTCTAAATTAACATGTGGGGTTTGGGGTAGAGGTGTGTATTTTAAGAACAATGCCCACTATTTGGTACTACTCTTACCAATTATCAATTACCAGTCGTCAATAATTGGTACTAGTCTTGCTAATTATTCTTACTTTTTATTTATAGATACAAACTTTAAACCTCTTTTGTTCACCCCTTTGGTTTAATGTGTCCCTGCAATTCCTTTTGTTTTCAATAATCTTTTCTCCTTCAATTTTAGCATGTAATGAAAGGATACCAGAAAAGATAACACCTTCAAAACCCCAATGTTAAAAAATCCCTTACATGGGTGTCAGCTTTTTGGAGAAGAAATAAGAAAAGATTATCTGAAATATTTGTTCTACCTCTCTCTGAAATTATTTTTATCATCCGATAATTCTTGCTAAAATAAATATCAAAAGCACTGAGTTTTCCATAGAAAAGTATTCTCCCTTACATGCTTCATTTTTGCAGCATAGAGTTCATGGATTAACTGTTGAAATGAGAGTAATGGGTGCTTGTTTTCTAGAAAATTCTTCAGATTTCCAAACACAAAGTACATGCAGCCCCTTAGCAGTGAAATACTGTGAATTCAGTGGCGCTTTTTAGTGGTGAACATGCATCATTACATACTTTTTAGCACCAAGGCATTTTTTTTAATGTTGCCAAAGCAAACGCCTAGGGAGGGTTTTGTTGTTGTTTTTTTACTTTTGTCATATTTGACCCTTCCTAGGGCTGAGTAAAAATGAAGTCTTTAAAATAAACCCTCCTCAAACATACACAGATCTGATTCTAACGCAAAAAGAAGTTTGGGACAGATACAGTCAGCAGCATCCCAAAAGGTGAAGAAGAGAAAAGACGAAAAGGTAAAGTGCAGGAGGCAACTAACTTTGTCTGCCAGCCACGGCACTCTCTTACTACGGAGGAGGAAACACGGATGTGTGGAAAGGCTACCCACTGGTCTGTGTAACAGAGAACGAGAAACCCTGCAGTTTAGGCAATTCTGGGATTAAACAGTATTTTGGTATCTATCTGCTACTTAGAATGCTCACTATGCACCTAGATATCGATAGTTATATTCATGTGCTGTGCCATCTCTGATGTTTTAAGAACATACACCATCAAAAAATATAATTGGCTACCACCCGAGGTTTGGGCTTGCCTCCTGCTCCTGGGTGCACTAGGGAATTCCCTTCAGCTCTATTCAAACTCTAAAGCTTCTCTTTGGTACATGCACAATTTCTACAAAACAGGGCCAAAAAGAAACTTTCTGGCTCCAAGTCCACCAAAGAACGCGAGCTGGCATTGTGGACTGAAGAAGAATTTTCCTGGTGGTTGGTGAACATGGAGGACTGCCATGACATCCACGAGGCCTTACTCAAGGTAACCAACTCCCCCTTCTCTGAAGGCTGACATTTCCAAGTGCATGCCACTAAAGGTCACAATGTCACAGCGACTAAAGGGAACAGTCGGGATCAGTGGTTTGATATGTATTTTGTATGTGTTCATTTAAAACCCTCATTAAGAATCTTAAAACTCATTTTCATCAAAAAAACTAATAGAAATGTTAATATTCTGAAAGAAAGAAAGAAAAACATCATACACCTGAAATCCCCAAAGCTCAGATTCAGCAAATCTGAACTACCTTTCTTCATAGTGTTTCATTTCAGAAACTCTGCCAAGACCTGATGTTAACCCGAAGGCTGGATTTGTTCTGTATTAAATATGAACTATAAATAAATATTTGAGGTATGTTATGACAAACAACTTTAATATAACACTTAGCTAGATCAATGTAAATTTACCTTAAAAATCTAGTTAAACATTAAATGTTGGTATTTCCTACAGATGTTTCCTAGAGTTTTTTTTTTATTTACACAAAAAAACCTCTCTACTCTTCAGTAACAGTAATACACCAAAAAAATGAAATGCTTTAACCTTCCTATTTTATAGTCACACCTTGCCTTTGTTAACCAAAAGCTATTGTATGCATTCTGTAGTGTAAAAAATGAATAATGGAGTCAGATAAATCTCTGTCTGAATCCTGACTTTGCCATTCTGTACGATCCTAAATGAGTTTTTTACCTCTCTGAGACTTGCTTCATATCTGTTTTATTTAAAAAATAATAATAAAATCAGCCAGGTGTGGTGACTTATGCCTGTAATCCTAGCACTTTGGGAGTCCCAGACGGTGGATCACTTGAAGTCAGGAGTTCAAGACTATCCTGGCCAACACAGTGAAACCCCTTCTCTAACAAAAACAGAAAAAAATTAGCTGGGTGTGGTGGCACACACCTGTAATCCCAGTTACACAGGAGGCTGAGGCAGGAGAATCACTTGAATCCAGGAGATGGAGGTTGCAGTGAGCTGAGATTGCACCGCTGCACTCCAGCCTGGGTGACAGAGCAAGACTCTGTCTCAAAAAATAAAAAGCAAATCTTTGCAAGGTAATTAAGAGAACTAAAATGGATGATGTATATTAAGTGTTTGACAAAATGCTCTACAAATCGTCAACACTCAACAAATGCTAAATTGTTTCCTGTCTGTTTCTCCTTTCTCTCCATCCCCAACACCTTGATTCTGAATGACTTTTGAATATTTTCAAGAATTAAATCCACCTATAAAGCATAAGGATGTCGTGCTAATGAAAATAACCAAAGAATATGCCCCAACCACCCATCTAACCTCCTGGGAGTTTCTAAATTAATAGGCTGAACTCATGGATATTGTATTTGCATATTAAGGCTAAATAATATATGAATTTACAGCTTACAAAAGAACAAGATGACCTTTTCCAAAACAAGTAATTTGAACCTAAGCTCATGGAGAGTCTTCATGAAAACTTCTAATAGGAGCTGTGACTATAAAGTAATGTAATCAATTTATTAACAAGCATATAAGACCCTATATATACAATTAAATAGTATCATCTACAAAATAGTCACTTCAGTTGACTATGTCATATTCCAATGATGCTACCACTGCCCTGAGTGTTTTGGGCACAACTCTTAATTGGTACATATTCCAAAACTTTATTTCCTCATGATTTTTACTACTTAGTCTACATTTGCCAACAACACATGAATGAAATACCTGCTATTTATAAGGAGCAGATACTTGAGGAAGGACAATATTCACACTGCGGTGCACATTTCAGACCCATTTCTTTGAGTTCTGGCCTAAGCATCCCAAAGGATTTCATGCAGTGGCAGATGGTAATCAAGTAAAATGACACCTGAAGATACCTGGCACCTGGTCAGTGATCACCGAACTGGCTTTAACTCCCACACCAAAGGTACCTTTCTCCTCTAAAGGACCAAGGCTCTCCCATAGAGTGTAAAGGGGAATCTTGAGGCCCCAGAGGAGAAACTAGGTCAATCAGCAAGGTTTTCTGAATCAGCAGGATTTTTTTAAATACTTCAAATATATGCCACATTGGCCAGAGTTTGACAGTTACCATTGCAATTACAGTGTGAGCCAAGCAAGACTCCTCACCTCCCAGAGAACCAAGCCCAAGAGCCAGAAGGAAGCCCTTAGCCCCTGAGACCACTAGCTCCACCCCTTGTAGACATTGTTCAGTCTAACAGTATTAACACAAACTGCATGCAACCAAGAGAAATGTTTGACCAATGTCCTTCCTAGGAAGAGAGGGAAACAGCCTTATAACCAGGAGTATTTGCACAATTCCACCTGTGCAGTCAAGCAGAGATGGACAGCAGAAGCCTCAATCATGGAACAGCCTGTCAATCACATCTCTTCTGGGAATAAGGGTAAACCGGAATAGGAAAACAGGCTAATTCCCTAATTAGCCTTCCATGAGCATAGGCTCCTTGGCGAAAACAATTCACAATTATATCAGGATTTGGCCCTTACACTCCCTTGCAGCCAGAACCCATGAGCTAACTTGCTATCAAACCGTTAGTGGTGTCAGGAAGCATCTATCTAAAGACCCATGTAGAAAGCATTCTGTATGGTGCTTAAGTCAAAGCAGTGTGCTGGGAGGTACTGAAAAGAATGATACATAGTGAACCCAAAGTGCATTTAGGAACAGACAACTCCTCTCTCGGAATCACCGCTGGAAACTTACAGTAGGCAGGAATCAAAGGGGAGTGTAAAACAATTCTAACTATGATAAAGTAGAGTCCAATAGGACGGACTGGTTTATTTTACATAATTTTCAACAATTACTTAAGATCATATTTTGGTCCAGAGCACAGATCTTCCTCCTCCTATATTGAAATTGATTTTTTTTTCTTTTTTTTCTTTTTTTTTTTGAGACAGAATCTCGCTCTGTCACCAGGCTGGAATGCAGTGGCGCCATCTCAGCTCACAGCAACTTCCACCTCCCGGGTTCAAGCGATTCTCCAGCCTCAGCCTCCTGAATAGCTGGAACTACAGGCGCACGCCACCACGCCTGGTTCATTTTTGTATTTTTACTAGAGACGGGGTTTCACCAGGTTGGCCAGGCTGGTTCTCAAACTTCTGACCTCAGGTGATTCAACTGCCTTGGCCTCCCAAAGGACTACAGACGTGCACCACCACGCCCTGCTAATTTTTGCATTTTTCAGTAGAGACAGGGTTTTACCATGTTGGCCAGAATAGTCTCCATCTCTTGACCTCATTAACCACCCGGCTCAGCCTCCCGAAGTGTTGGGATTACAGGCATGAGCCACCATGTCCAGCCTCCAAGTGGTTTTCATTTCCCAGGCACAAGTTTCCTGATATAAATACTCATTTTCAGGAGCAACCACAGCAATTATCTGTCCAGAAAAAAGAAAACCACACAGATTTGCCAGTGCTTTCAAGACATAACTAAAATATTCAGTGGGACTTTTCCCAGTGACTTTGTGGGCCCATAAGAGCTAAAGAAAATTTCTGCAACAATTTCCTTAGATAAGAAAGACTTCATTTTCTTTCCTTATTATACATTTCAAATTTCAGTTTCTAGCCATATTGTTTAGCACACTAGTTTTAAAGCCCCTTATGAAAGAATACTGGAGTTTATATTCAAGCTATCAGATTTATGATTCAGCCGCCTCTTTACCTTATGATGGGACAGGCAGACTAAAAGAGAATGTGTCCTATGACATGAAATAGCTGTTCCTTCTACCACACTATGCCTATGGTTCCTTTGAAGCATTTGAAAAATTCTACCTGATTTATAACTCTGCTATGGCTTAAAATGCTATTAACAGTACTGGATGGAAAGTTCAGCTTCCTCTTTTCAAAAACAGATCTGCTTTATTCTGTGAAAGTCAACGTAACATGCTGCATGCACATTTTCCCAATCAAATTGCATAGTTGAGACAAATTCATTTGTGCTTTGTAGCAGAACTCACAGTAGGTGTTCATCTCTAAAAACTTTGATTTGGAAATGCAAAGTCCTAGGCAAGCTCACCTGTGATTGGAGTGTTAGTTAATGATATGCACCGCCATTCCCCTACCCACGATTTCGCTAACCGTGTACGTCAGCCGATACCGTAGGGGAGCATGCGCTTGAAATTAACACAACGGAAATGGGAACAAATCTAGCTGAACGGCTCCTTGGAGAGAAGCGGGGAAAGGCTCTCAGTTTTGTTGAGGTATCCAGCCCTCAATGAATAGCGGCTGTGTATGCTGAGTTTTGTTGGTTTGAGGATTGTGTCTGTAGAGGTTAAAAAAAGAAAGAATAGAAGGCACGGTTGTTTCTCAAGTCGCCATTTTCAACTCAACCAACAAAACTAAATACTTCCATTTTCAAGCTTCAGGAGGGTGGCTCCGGGGCAGCGGGGCTCTCTTCCAGCCCCGGGTCTGTGGAGGAACTTATTGCTTCCGGGAAGGGCCCCGGGTAGGTCTGCGCTGCGCACTGGATCCCCTTCTGCAGACCAGTGTCTTCGTGGAATTCTCCCTGGGTGCCGAAAGCTGGGCAAGATCTAGTCCGGGCGCTGTCGGGGTGGCCCACTCTCTCACTGACAGTGCTCAGGGGGAATTCTCTCCACCTCCGCCTCTGCAGGCCATCCTCCTTGTATTTTATGGAGTACCAGGCCAGAAAAATAAAAATAAAGCCCACGAACTTGAGGCCGGCCGCCAAACCAAAATAGACAAAACGAAACGACGTCACGTTGTACTCCCAGCAAGAACCCTGCACGCCACACTCCTGCTGCCAGAGCATGCAGGTGGTGTCAATGACTGCTCCGAAGTAGATGGGAGTAGGAATGTATGCTACAGGGTGGAGAAGAAGAAAACACAAGACTCAGCGCCTCTTACAAGGGAGAACAGATTCGTAAACTAGAAAGGTGTGCTCTAAAAACGGGGGGGGTGGGGGGGGATTTTCTTGTGTTACCTGATTCTTTTTAAGACACATCACATTTGATCACAATAGATTTATCACAAAAGCATTCACTACATGATAAACACTCAAACTCTAGTGTGCAACCCAGAATGTGCTCTTGATTTTTAGGATCAAATCATCATGTTGTATACTTTAAATAGATAAATTTTATTTGTCATTTATACCAAAATAAAGCTAAAAAGGGGTATTGCTAAAAATACAACTAGTGAATCCTTTTAAAATTAAAAATTGGATCTTGTCATTAAATATCCAAGAGGCTATACTAGAATCCTTTATTACCCACCAAAATTCAATACACTTAGTTCTTGTGGGTTGGGTTCTAGTCCTCAGATGCAGGAAGAATATGAGAAAAGCAGCATCTCCTGTAAATCAGACACCACATAAAACGGCAACTTTATAGAAGCATTTATATATCTAAGAAACTATAAAGGAACTTTATTATGGCATAAATTTCATCTTTGAAGCTTATAAAGCATCTGAGATGAATAGCAGCTTCGTCGTTTGGCCTATGATACAGACATTTCCTTACCATAAGAAAAAACTCTACCTAGTGCATCCACTCTTTTATCACATGCTATTCCCTTTGCCAAAATGTTCCCAAACTCATTCACCTTGCAAATATCTACACCCCCTTTAAATTCCTGACTCACTCAGGTGCCATCATATCCTCACTGCATTTTGTATCTACCTCGGTTTTATTAACTATCATATAGCATTTTAATTGTTTGCAAATCTGTTACTCTGTAAACTTCTTCAAGGAGGGGCTGTGCCTTTTATTCTTTGCATTCCAAGGACCTCAATAAAAATGTACAGAAGATAATGCTAGGAGGGAGGAGGAAGGAAGTAACAAAAAGTGAGAAAAGAGGAAGAGAGCCAGCAAGAAAGCCAGAAAAGAGGAAGGCAGAGAGGACAGGTGAGCTGATAACCCAGGAAACTGTGAGTGATACATTTTTAATAGGTTGTTTTTATTTAAAATAAGATCTATTGGTTTAATTTTAACATTACTGCAGTTTTTGGTTTTTTTTTTAACTCTTTTTCAGCTTTGAAATTTGGAGGGGGGGTGGCGGGCGCAGTGGCTCAAGCCTGTAATCCCAGCACTTTGGGAGGACGAGGCGGGTGGATCACGAGGTCAGCAGATGGAGACCATCCTGGTCAACATGGTGAAACCCCGTCTCTACTAAAGATACAAAAAATTAGCTGGACATGGTGGCGCGTGCCTGTAATCCCAGCTACTCAGGAGGCTGAGGCAGGAGAATTGCCTGAACCCAGGAGGCAGAGGTTGCGGTGAACCGAGATCGCGCCATTGCACTCCAGCCTGGGTAACAAGAGCGAAACTCCGTCTCAAAAAAAAAAAAAAAAAATGGCTTGTTGGCCCAACTAGACAATCTATAGAAGTTAAAATAAAATTGAATTAAATAATAAATGCCCTCCCTCCACTTATTCCTGATGCTGTGGCATACATATATCGACTCACCCTCACCTCCAAATCATATCAAATGACCCCAACTCCATGGTATCAGAGAGGGGCACAGCAAAAAGAAGAAATTATTATTCCGGCTGGGCATGGTGGCTCATGCCTGTAATCTCAGCACTTCGGGAGGCTGAGGCTGGCGCATCATCTGAGGTCAAGAGCTCAAGACCAGCCTGGCCAACATGGTGAAACTCCGTCTCTACTAAAAAAAAAACTACAAGAATTTTCCAGGCATGGTGGTGAGCACCTGCAATCCCAGCTACTCAGGAGGCTGAGGCAGGAGAAACACTTGAACCTTAGAGGCAGCGGTTGCAGTAAGCCGAGATTATGCCTCGGCAACAGAGCAGGACACCATCTCAAAAAAAATTTTTTTCTTTTTTTATTGAGTCACCTCTTTGGTTAACAAATCTTCTTCTTTCTAAATAATACTGTTTAACTTTTAACAAGAACAATAAGGCAGACTTTTTTTTTTTTTTTTTTTTTTTTTGAGACAGTGTTGCTCTTGTTGCCCAGGCTGGAGTACAGTGGTATGATCTTGGCTCACTGCAACCTCCACCTCTTGGGTTCAAGTGATTCTCCTGCCTCAGCCTCCTGAGTAGCTGGGATTACAGGCATGCACAGCCACACCCAGCCAATTTTTTTTTTTTTTTTTTTTTTATTTTTAGTGGAGATGAGGTTTCATCATGTTGGCCAGGCTGGTCTCGAACTCCTGACCTCTGGTGATCCACCCATCTCAGCCTCCCAAAGTGCAGGGATTATAGGCATGAGCTACTGTGCCCAGCCCAAGGCAGACTTTTTAACTGTATCTAAGTGTGTCAGGATTTCCTGTAAACAGCATGCTTTTTAAAAAATGGTACCCTTGAAGTCTTATTAGTACCGACAAAACAAGCCACTCTTTAAATGGAACTAGAAGCATTTTCCTTCTGGGGCTTGTTGAAAAGTGCTTATTCTTGGACTCAGCTATCAACCACGACATATGACAAATGGAGAATGCCAGGGGATTAGTGCTTCAAGGGGTCAGACAATGCCCTTTTTAAACATTACCTCTTCAAAACGGAAATATGAAATCTGAATCAAAAAGCAATTTTTTCGTCTTGTAGACAATGATACTGTTTACTGGGGAGAAAATAACAGCTGAAGAAAATGACAGACTGCCACTTAAAAAAATTATAAAAGGAAAAATGAGCTTGATGACCAGGAAGTCAATTAAAAATACACTGAAACTGATCAAAGGAACTTTGTACTTTACATGCCTATTTCCCATTCATTGTCTCAAGAACTCACAGAGTGATGTGGTGTTTGTAAAAATAAGACCTATATTCCTCCTGCACACATGGACTCTGTGGTTTATCACATGGACACAGCACAACTGAGTTTCTCTTGTTGATAAGTACAGACTTATAAGGCAGTCTCTATAGTCACTTAGGGGACCTTTCTTTTCCTATCTAAAGTTTTTTATTTTTCTTAGAAAACTTGATAGGTATACTCTTTGCTTAGTCCAATAAAATTACTATAAAGAAGGAAGGAATTGAAAACTTCGCAAATAAACACCAATTTCTATTGCTTTCATACTAACCCATAAAGGGATCAAAATGTCAGAATTAAAAATCCATGACAAATTGCTTGATTTCTTATTTCTTACTGTGTAAAACTCTGGGGAATTTTCTCCAAGTTTATGTTCATAATGAAAAAGCAACTACCTTAACTTTGGTTATGCTTTGTTTCATCAAGAGACAGAGCCTGTCAGCTTCTAGTTCAAATCAGAAAACAAGGAAGTTGTACCCTCATCACTAACGTGTAAAATCTTACTAATGATAATAAATGACACGACTTGCCATCTTTAAAAGACAGTGAAAATTTGCTATCTGCAAAGAGGAACTAAGAGGCACCCTTGGAAATTCAGGGACGTACCAAGTGTTCGTAACAAAACAAACTGCATTCCCAGTGCAAAAGGCCTCTCCTCATCTTCCACGGACCTACAGTGAAGGGAAAGAAAGAAATGTTTCTTAAATAGTAGCCCCAAGAAAATGAATGATAAATCAAGTCTGCCTTGTGCAGAGCAGGGACTAAAGAGATGCCATACCAAAATATTTGATTCAATACATTTTACTAACAATAGCCACCCAAGATTGCTGTTGGCTAAATCACTGAATAAAGGTCTCCCCACTGAAGACACAAAAGAAACTAACTCTAATTGTTTCTACATAAACACTGGTGGAGGGGGGTCAAAGGCTCTTGGTTGAAGAAGCTGAAATGCCCCTAACTGAGCTTCCAAAATCAGATCTCTTTTTTTTTTGAGACGGAGTTTCACTCTTGTTACCCAGGCTGGAGTGCAATGGCGCAATCTCGGCTCACTGCAACCTCCGCCTCCTGGATTCAGGCAATTCTCCTGCCTCAGCCTCCTGAGTAGCTGGGATTACAGGCATGCACCACCATGCCCAGGTAATTTTTTGTATCTTTAGTAGAGATCAGGTTTCACCATGTTGACCTGGATGGTCTCGATCTCTTGACCTCGTGATCCACCCGCCTCGGCCTCCCAAAGTGCTGGGATTACAGGCTTGAGCCACCGCGCCTGGCCCTAGTTTTTTAATTGTAGAATTTCATCCTCAATACTGGGTCTTTTTTTTTTCACTGGCTACCTGCATCTTCCAGAATAGTAGATATGTACAGTGAGAATTACCCCAATAATTCCTCCAGAACAATAAAAAGAGTACAGAATAAGAGTATCTTCAAAAGTATATAGGAAACAAGGCAAACATCCGAGAAAGCATAAGCCCTCCAATTGGGTCTTTTTTTCTTTTTTAAAAATTTATGCTCCAAGTTATTCCCATGTGACAGGAAGACTGAAGCCTACTGGTTTTGTAATTAGCAAAGATTAAAGGGCTCCTTTTCTGAAAGTTTAGGTGAGAAGCCAGTTGGTGATTTGCCATGTTTGAAGACTAAAAGAAAAAGTAGCCTGTCTATGGGTTATTTAACATCTCTTGAAGAATTAAAGTGCAAAGAATTAGATTATTTGAGTAAATTTATGAATGATTCATGTATCTTTTTAAATGCTGCAGTACCTTATCCTCTTCATCACATACCCATGAGACTATGGTATATAATGGGAACTTTGCCAAGACCAGTGCCCTTGTCATCTCTTCCCCAATTTCCTTATTTCTCATAGCAATTTGCACAGCACTGCACACGGGTTGTTATTCCATAAATATCTGCTGCTGGAAAAACTGAGTAAAAAACCAGTGGGCCTTTCATGCGCTACTATCTGGCTGTCAATGAACAGCTTTGCTGGGAAATGCCTGATTCAGCACCAACCAGAAAAGAACCCAGAACGTGCCTGCCTCAGCCCACCGCCCTTGCAGTGACATCACAGCAGGCGCTTCCTGCAAGGTGCCCAACCTTGTGGCATCCGAGGAGCCTGGAGGAAGAGTAAGAACTGACTCCCTTTCCTCACTCCCTTCTTGCACTGCACCCCCTAAATCCCCTGAAGCTGCCCAGACCCATGGGTGTGCTCTTCTGGCTTCACCACGCTGCCCAGTTCCTTCCTTTGTCCACTGCAGACCCTACTGCAAATATGAACACACCGATGTGAATGTATCAGTGTGACAGGCCTCCATAACAACTGTTTCAGTAGTGACTGTTTAAGTTGAATGTTAAAAGCCAGTCCCTAGGGCGGGCATAGTAGCTCCTGCCTGTAATCCCAGCACTTTGGGAGGCTGAGGCAGGCAGATTATGAGGTCAAAAGATCAAGACCATTTTAGCCAACATGGTGAAAATACAAAACAGTACAATACTAAAAATACAAAAAAATTAGCCAGGAGTGGTGGCGTATGCCTATAATCCCAGCTACTCGGGAGGCTGAGACAGGAGAATCGCTTGAACCCGGGAGGTGTGGAAGTTGCAGTGAGCTGAAATTATGCCACTGCACCCCGGCCTTGGCAACAGAGCAAGATTCTGTCAAAAAAAAAAAAAAAGCCAGTGCCCTTACACAAAGGGTGGAATGTAACAAAAAGCCCACCAGGAGTTTTTCCTGGGCCTTAAAGCATGACAAAATAATGAAGGAATTCTTAACAGGACCCATTTAGAATTAAACAAGTTTTATTGGGGATCTGAAAACACTCCCCAGGCCTCCACAGACAAGTTTATTGGGGGTATGAAGGAACTACCCAAACCTCTGTGATTTACCAGGAGACAAGATAAGGGTAATCGCCCCAGCACCTGGACCCATTTAGATTAAGTAAATTTACTGAGGCTCCAGAAGAAGGTCTTCGGGATTCAGACCTTAGTTATAGATTAAAAGAAGTTCATCACTTATGTCTTTAGATGAATGCACACTTACACATAGACATATAGCTTGGAAGGTATATAGGCTCTAAAAACTTTGTAATTTTGAGTTGGTCTGGGGATAATTTCCAGGCTTTCTCCCTGTGACCAGTTACAGAAATAAAAACTCTCTTCCTCCCCTGTTCATCTGCATCTCATTATTGCAATGCAGAAAGTAGCAGCCCAACCCTCAGTTTGGTCCAGGAACATCAGTGCCACCATTTTTAATAGGACAAAAGTAGCTTCCATGTCCTCTTATTAAAAAAATTCCAAACAAGATACTGCAAAGAAAGCACAGCCTTAAAAACTAAAAGAGAGAGAGAGAGAGAGAGAGATTACATTCCCCAGTATACCCTTTTCTTAACTCTGATGGTAAAATTAATGAACTCAGCATTTCAAATTGCAGGCCCAGCAAAAACAGCCACTGATCTCGAAGGTATTAACTATCTACAAGGTTGAAGATAATAGCCTTTGCTGTATGCACAATTTAGCAACTTTCCCAAATTACTTCCTGCCCTCCTCTGAGTTCCAGCTTCTCATAGCTAACAGTGATGACTTTCAACTCCTGAAGCTGAATCTCATCGGGCAGAGACTTCAGGAATCAAAAACACCCCAAAGAAGTTTCATTACACAGTAAGAATATAACCCAACTGAGTAAAGAAAGTTCCAAAGCATGAAACGTTACAACCTTCCTTTCCCTTCCTGATAGGGAAAAATCCCTCCTAAGTTCACCAGGCAAATAGCTGAGTGCCCTCCTGCACATGCTAATTTTGCTTTGCTCTCTGATTTACCACATCAGCCCCTTGTCCTGGATTATGTGCTCTGGAAATTCTAAGTACAGAGCCCACCCGAGAAGTGGAATGCTGTTCTCACCTGAGTGTTACTATGATGGCTGATGGTTGCGCACATGCTGTGATGAAGGTGACTATGAAAAGAAAAACTAAGAATGGGATAAGGGTATTGCAGGTCCGTTTACACTTCCCAGACACGGCGTAACCGTTCTCATTGAGATAAGTCTTGACAATAACCACACGGAGCTGACTGCGCTGTCCCACAGTGGGCGGAGTAATCACTTGTCGACTTTGGACACAGGTGCATTCTGTATAATTCCGTATCTAAGTGAGCAAAATAAAGATCAGTGGTGTGCCCCTCGAAAGCTAACTGTGGCGTAGGAATGTAAAGATGAAGTTGAGTTAAAATACTCTAAAATAGCTCAAATATTCTTTAAAACACAAAATATTTCATTGAAAATAGCTTCCTCATTGATAACAGTAAGGATCTCAAGTGTGCGTCTAACAAAACCAGTCTGCTGCTCAAAAGTGTTTAAACCTAAACTTTTCTGAGAAGCTTTCAACATTCAATACCATTCACATTCCACATGCTCACTTTTGTCATCATTACATTCTGCCTCAGTTGCTGTTCACTCTTGGGCTCTCCAATTAGAGAAGCCCCTCGAAAAACAGAACCAACTTTATTTTTCTTTGTGTTCACAGAGAACCAAGCACAACTCTGGTCACACAGTGGGCCCTAAAGTAAACATCTAGTAAATGCAGATAGTTCATAATGCAACCGTAATGACTTCAGCACCAGTACTAGTGAACATCTCATTGGTGTTCCATTTTCTTTTCTTTTTCAACTGTTATTTTAGATATGGGGGTACATGTGCAGGTTTAGTACATGGGTCTATTGTGCGATGCTGCGGTTTGTTGTACAGATGATGCCATCACCCAAGTAGTGAGCACAGTTCCCAACAGGCAGTTTTTCACACCTCCCTCCCCACCTCCCCACTATAAGAGTCTCCAATGTCTATTGTTTCCATCTTTGTGTCCATGAGTACCCAATGCTTAGTTCCCACTTATAAGTGAGAACATGTGACATTTGGTTTTCTGTTCCTGCATTAATTTGCTTAGGATAATGACCTCCAGCTGTATCCATGTTGCTGCAGAGGTCATGATTTTATTCTTTTTTATGGCTGTGTAGTACTCCATGGTGTATATTATCACACTTTTTTTATCAGATTCACCACTGATGAGCAACTAGATTAATTCTATATCTTTACTACTGTGAACAGTGCTGCAATGAACATACAGGTGCATGTGTCTTTTTGGTAGAACGATTTGTTTTCTTTTGGATATATGCCCAGTAATAAGATTGCTGGGTTGAGTGGTGGTTCTGTTTTAAGCTCTTTGAGTAATCTCCAAACTGCCTTCCACAGTGGCTAAGTTAATGTACGTTTGGGTGCATCCATTTTAAACATCTTTTTAGTCCCTTTAGTTAGCTGGTGCCCTACACCCTCTAGAAGAGCAGCCAACTCCGTGGATGTAACTTGGGTCTAGCTACTGCAGTCTCCACCCAGTACTGCTCCCGGACTCTGACAGAGTCAGACGATGAGCTCAAATTCACTTGTTTACTTTTTCCATCCAATATTCATGAGCCCCTACACTAACATGCCAGGTGTCATTCTAGGGGACTGAGGATACAGAAGAGCAAGAGTCCAAGTCTTCTGTGTTAACTACTGAAATTTCTGCTTAAGGCAAATAAAAAGAGAAAGATAAAACACTGAGGGGTGTCACAGGATACCAAATAAACAAACAAACAAAACCAACAAATGTTAAATCAGCCGATTAACCTTCCTATTATGCTTCTCTTCACTGAATGGACATCAGCTGAACTGGCTCCCACTGCAACCTTTGAACACTTGAAGCAGCCGTAAGAAAATGTGTGAAGATGAGGCACTGTTTGGCTGTCATGCTCAAAAGACTGCTTGGCAGTTTTTAAAGGATAAGCATTCACTCCCAAGGAAGGATTTAGCCACCAAAAGAACAGATCTCACTGCCTCTTTCAACATGGTGACACAGTGGAGCTCACCAATTATATAATGGGGAACAAACAACAGGAATTCTCAATTCATCATTGCAGTTTAAAACTGAGACTCAAAAACAATATCCCCAAAACACTCAATGGATGGTATAGTCCCTTATCACCTGGACAGAACAAGCACATGCATTTGAACCTTTTAATGAAAGAAATTCCTACAATCTGTTCTTCCGCAAAGAATCAAACCAGGCTTCATAAGAAACTGAGCAGAATATGAAAACCTTCTCCCACAGCATTACAGCCCATTTATAATTTACAGGCAAGGGAATTCTCAAAATAGCCTATTCTTGAACTGTCAGAAATATCTTTGCTTTCAAAGTTTTTTTTTTTTAAGCCTGAACTGAACTGATAGTCTATGAAAAATGGCCATCGCCCATCTTCACAGACTCCAGTCAGGGGAGGTGCTTTCCTATTCTGTTCTATCAGCACCAAATGTGGTCATCTTGACCTTCAAATCCATCACAAGGGCACTGTCAGAGAAACAAACGGGAGGCCTAGAGCTCAACCTTATCACGTTTCACTGAGTTGGCACAGAATGTAAAGTAGAAGAGGGCTGATATGAAACCAGATCCCTGCATCCAAATGTTCCAGTCATCCTTGGGAAAAAAATAATAGCAATGCATAATTTTCTTTCCTCTAGGTTTGCGTCAGAGGCATTTTGTAGGCTACTTGGAAGCTCTTGAAAAGAAAGACTGAAGTCGTTGTGGCTGCATATGAATTTCCTCACATCCTTCTCACAGGATGTTGGACTAACAGAAGAGGAACTTGTGAAATATACTCACCCCAGTGCTAAGATTACCACTATTAACACAGCCAGCCAGACACGGGTTAAAGTATGTAATTCCATCTGATCCACAGACTGGCTCGTACTCGTGTATTTTACAACCACAATTAACGTTGCAGCTTCCTGTCAGATTCCTATGGGGCATGGTGAGAGAAGGTCTAAGAGAGAAGAGAAGCAGATCATGAGCAACACTTACCAAAATAAAACTCGTAGGAAAGGTCTTGAAATTAATCATTTGTACATTTAGAGAAAATATTCTTCCTATCAAATCAAAGCCATGATATCTGAAGCAGCCACCCTCGAAAATTATTTTTCTGACTTTAAAACAAAACATAAAGAAAAATGTTTAACTGTCTGGTACTACAGATTCAATGCTTTTTATCAAATGACTGGCTCATCTAAATTTTACCCTCCCTCTTGGTGCTATGAATCTGGTCTCAACATGTGGCTCTGTAATTCTAACCCTAATATAACTAGTCACTTACTGTAGGCACCTGACTCTACATCTTAACAAATTTGTACCTCAATTTTCTTATAAAATGGAGGAAATACGTTTTAGTATTGAATCAATAACATCATTGTGAACATATGATTACAGTTAAAAGCCGTCTGCCACAGTTACTAATATAGGTTCCTCTGACCAAAAACTTTTATTCTAGAATAAATTATCAAAGAAAGACATGGGACATGGGACTCTAGAAAATCAAAAGGAAGTATTTTCAAAGATGATTAGGAATCACATTGCTAGTTTGACTTAAATAACCAGAGAATAAAGATTAAGCAGATCTTCCCTTGGGAATGCCCACGTGTGGATCCACAATCAAATATGGTGGATTTCTTCTCTTGAGATCATGGTGTCTGATACAATGAAACGATGCCATATGGAAAGCTCGAAGAAAATAAATTCAGGCAACAAATAAAGAGGGAAGGAAAGGCAGGTAAGGATATAGGGCCGGGGAGAGACGTGTGAGCAAAGGTGGTGGAAGAGCAGAGGAGCACCTGGTGGATCCACAGAAGAAGGAAAGGGCGCCATACTGCTCATACCCCATGACCTCTTTTGCTTTTGTGACCACCATTTTTGTGTTTCACGGATGAAATGTTGTTCCCAAAACTATACGAGTTAGCAATAGCAGATCCTTCATCCATTTATCCATTATCCATCCATTCAACAAATATTTTGGAATGTCTGCTATGTACCAGACATTATCTTTTTTAACATAGATTTAGAGGGGGTAAAAGTCCCGTTTAGTCACGCGGATATATTGTGTAGTAGTGAAGTCTGGGCTTCAGTGAACCCACCACCTGACTGATGTACATTGTGCGCAGTAGGTAATTTCTCATCCCTCAACTCCCTCCCCCGCCACCAAGATGTATCTTTAGTGACTATGTTATTACCACGTATACAGCAGTACAGCTCATCCCACCCATGCATGTTAATCGGTGAGTGTTGTTTTTTCAAAGTTTTTCTCCTGTGGCCTTTTTCATACTTCAGTAATTGAGTCCTTAAATTTTAATGGGGAAAACAAATTCAAAACAATATTATAGTCTTATCAAAAAAGCCTTCTAACAAGGCAAAAGGCAAAAGGCAAATAAATTCTGTTTTTCAATCAGGTCACTCCACAGAAAAAAAAATTATTACAAGACTCTTATAATCATTACAGCCACAAACTCCTAGTGTCATACCATCTTAAAGTCTGTATATGCCTAAAAATATATTATTCTAGACTAGTGAGTCTCCACTGGGTCAATTTTGCCTTCAGGGGACCTTTAGCAATGTCAGGAGACAATTTTGGTTCTCACAGCTGAGGGGGTGCTACTGGCATCTAATGGGCCACTAGTTCCTACTGAGGTAGGAGATCAGCAGCACCTGCTTTCTGAGCCCCGGTCACAACCCTGCTGATCAAAACAGGATGTTGTAAAGAAACTGGCCAAAACCAGGAGGACCAAGATGGCAACCAAAGCAACCTCTAGTTGCCTTCGTGGCTCATTATATGCTAATTATAATGCATTTACATAAGATACTCCCACCAGCACCCTGGCAGTTTATAAATGATGCCATGGCAATGGCCTAAAAGTTACCTTATATGGTTCTGGGAACTCTCTGCCCCTTTTCCAGAAAGTTTGTGAATAACCTGCCCCTTATTTAGTATATAATTAACACTGGATGTAAATACAGCCAGCCAGCAGTCTACAAGTGCTTCTCTGGGCCACTCCACCTACGCTCTCTCTATGGAGGTGCCATTTAGCTATACATTGCTGCTCTAACAAACTTGCTTTCTTTCACTGCCAGCTTGCTCTTGAATTCTTTCCTGTGCAAAGATAAGAACCCTCCCAAGCTGAGACCCAATTTTGGGGTTTTGCCTGCATCACCACAATGCCCCAAAAGGCCCCCACCACCTCCTATAATAAGGAATTATCTGGCCCCAATGTCAATAGTGCTGAGGATGAATACTCTGTTCTAGACCAATTTCACGTTGTTCAGACGATGAAACTGAGGTGTAAGCAAGCGAAGCTATCCACTATGAAGCTGGTGAGTAAGATGCTAGCTGCGGTCATATGAAAAGTACTCAGTGTGCATCAGTATTCTCTTCACCAGCACTTGAAGAACTAAACTGCAAGTCATAACCAAATAAAAGGACTTGTATGTGTCTGCATGGTTAGTCATAAAAATGACAAGCTACAATCCCGTACCGATGGTTATTATCATTATTATTTAGAAGTTACATGGCATTGCCTATTAACAGCATGCTTTGCATTCATCTGTGATAGCCACAGATTCCAAACACCTCTCCTTTATGAGTGTGTCCATGCAAGAGAAAGCAACCTAAAGAAAATATTTACAGATGCTCACAACACAGTGATTGCAGGGAAGCAAAATCTTTCCTGAGTTTAGAAAGCTAGCACAGTCCCAGGTCACCCTTGGGTATGTTTGCTTTTCTTATGAGATCATGGTGTCGATAGGAATGAATTCTACAAAATGAAAACCTCTAAGAAAATCAATACATGAACAAATATAAATAGCAATGAAAGGAAGTGGGCATTCATGAAAAAGTTATCAGGAGAGAAGGTGATCATGGTACACACACGAAAAGCTGCTGACATGGTTTATCCTTTACACTGTGCTGAAAATCACTTTTAAGAATAATAATGTCCTGTCCGGTGGTCATTCACTCTCCAGAAAGCAGACTGGATTCTAATAATAGCACAAGTTTAAACCTGAGTAACACTAAGCGATCTCTCGTTAGCCCGAAGTGAACCCATCATGAGAGCACACAACACACAAGGACTACTTACTGAAAGCGGCACTCGTCCTTGTGCAAAGGGACTGTGCATCACCTTCCCAACAAACGGAAAGCATTTCTGGCAAGATATAAAACTGCACAAAAGCCTCCTGCTAAAGGTAGTCCTCCAAATAAGAGGCTCGTGTTAACTCAAGAATCAATGTGTTAATTTTGAGTAAGGTACAGGGCCTTGATAGCAAACACCTTAAAACTGCATGGTCCAAAATATTTGACATAAAAATCATGGAATTACAGAGCTAGAGAGAGGGAGGATCTCTGAGATGATCCAGCAGACTTGCTAACTTCAAAGAACAGGAAACTATAAGAGGTATCATGGCAAGACCCACAATCATTGAGGCCTCAAGAAAACCAGCCCTGGGGAGACGGCAAAAAAGGAAACAAGAAGTAAAAACAACAACCTTGTTATCCAATCTTTGTTAAATCAATCACTCAGGGAGGGATGCTATTTAAAGTAATACATAGCAGCAAGACGGATGGTTGTTAAACATAATTCAAACCATTTCTGCAATAGGGCCATCACAGCTACATATGTAAGAATACAGCGGCCCTAAACCCCATTCACACCCCAGCACTGTGTCCCATCACTCTACCCCAAGACTAAAGAACACTTGAACTTCCCCATCTAAACATACTTCTACTACATACTTCTATTGGTCTCTATAAATCAAAGAAAAGCCCGCTAACTTTCTTAAGGGACTTCTGCCTCCTTTCAGGTTTCTCTCTGTTAAAAGATGTGACAAGTAGAAAACCACACATACTATGCTCAAGCCATGTGGACTAAAAGAACATGGTTCACACAACAAAAAGAAAAAAAAAGAAGAAGAAAGAAAGAAACCTCTTTAGCAAAATATACTAATATACTAGAAAAAAATTAATATCTTTCTCATAATTTCTTAATCTTCATCAATTTATCTCAGTCTTCGAGAAGATTTCAATGAGAACGTTTCTTTTCAACTCCACTTAAATTTTTGGCTTCATATTGGAACCCTTCCTGGGCTCTACAGAGCTATGTAACTTCAGGTTTATAATTATTATTCTCATCATCATAATCATCATTACCATTTAAAACTAGCATCAGCAGAACCCTATTTTTACTCCATGAATTGCACCCTGAGATCTCAAAGTAAGTTGTCTCATTCATTCCCTGTGAGAATTGTCATTATTATTGCCATGCTTCCATCTTTCAGGTGAGGAAATTGAAGGTTTGAGGGGATAGGTTCTGCCAAAGTCACACAGCTAGTAAGGGTCAGAAATGGACTTAAGCCCAATTTTATTTCATCATAGTGTGCATCTGTAAGCCCCAACACTGGCAGGGAAGCTTTTTGTAACTGTCCCTCATTTTACTTCCTCTGGCACAGGTCTTCCAGATGGCTTATTTCGCTTTCTTCCTGGAGAAAGCTCTAATGCAGTTTTTGTGGCACTCTGATTTCAGTGTTTCTGAGTGTGAGTCAGAAAGAGCTGGGTCAATTTCATATCCACAATTCACAAGTGCTGTGAACTTCAGATTTCATATTTGTAAAACAGAGATCAAAATGTCAGCATCACACAGTTGTTGTGGGGGATTAGGTGGGTGAATGTATGGCCAGCGTCCAGCATTGTGCCTAGGACATAATATGCACTGAGATATCGGTGTGTGTCTTTCCACACTTAACAGAAGCATGAATGAATAGAAGTAACAGAATCACAAACGTGAGGAGTGCAAAAGGCTACCATGACATTTTTCCTTTCAAAAAGGATAAAGTAGCTTTTTTATTTACTCCTACAGAGAATGGTGGGGAAAAAAACTAGATGAAGATCTAGTTTCAGGCCTGCCATTTAGTAGCTATGTGACCTTGGACCAAATCTTTCTGTCTATG